AAAATATGAGAAATTAAGGTGCAAAAGGATAAGAGTGTATTTATTGCTAAAGAATAACACTAGAAGCCTTGTAGGAGAGATGGTCTTGTGCTTAACTAGCTTTTAAGAGGTCTTGAGTGAAGCACAATTGCTCTATTTTTTTTTTTTTTTTTTTCCATGGCCATTGGAAAGCAGGATCTTAGGAAGATTTAAGTGTATTTATTTTATTTTATTTTATTTTCCCTCATGTAATTTGATTTTTTTAATTTTCTTTTTCCTCCTAAGTGTTCCCTTCTAAACTCTATAAATAGGGACTCTAAGAAGGGGGTATAGAGTTAGTGAGAGAAAATAATGTAGAAGTTAGAGATTTTTATTATTTTGCATTTTTTTTCTTGTAATTTCTTTTTCTCATAAATGAAAAGTTGTTCTATTTTTGTGTTTTATTTTCTTGTTGGTATGCTAGCTTAAACACCTCTTCTCGAGGGAAAGATGAGGCCACCATAGCTGACGTAATTGAATTTCTTTCATGTCTTGTTTTAATTTTCTTCTTTAGAACATACACACTACAAGAAAAGTGGGTTTTTACGACATCTTATTTACGGGGTTTCTTTATTTTGCCTCGTGGAAACTATTTTTAACTGGGTTCATTAGAGATCCTCGTAATTGTTATATAAAGGGTCATGCTTTCACGGGGATTTAGCAAGATCCTCGTAGAAAAACGTTTTTACGGCGTTTTAAAGATCTCAGGGATATCTAAATATATTAAGGGCATATTTGTCCAACTTTAACGGCACAAATGATCCTTGTTAATAAAGTGCTAAAATTTGACATTTAAGGGATATTTTTTTGTCCCGTGAATAACTAAAAAGGCTTCCCCCCAAATGTTTTTACCCTTGCGCCAAATTAACTTAGCTAGGTACAATAAAAATCACACTTTAAAAAAATATATAGATAAAAATAAAATAAAATTTTTTAAAAAAAACCTCAAACGACAGACCAGCGGGGCATATACACATTTCTCTGATATGAAGTAGTAAGGGAGCGACGAAGAGTGGAGCGATGGCGACCAGCGAGTAGCTAGCAGCTAGCAGCTGATGTGTGTGATTTTACTATTCGCAATAGTATGAATCCTTTGTAAGATAGGGCTACTTAGAGGGTGTCGAACCTCAGGGACTATAGGATTTTATCAAATCTAAAATTAATTGCTATTTTAATTTAGAGAAAGTTTGTGTTTGCTGTGTTACAATTCAATAGTATGAACAGAAAATAAACAAAGTAAAAAGATTGAGATCAGAAGGAGAAGTACTTAGGGATTGATTTCAACGCGAACCTTATGCTATGGTAAATTGTCTTAAACTTGGGATTTTAATGTTTATGTATAACTTAGAATTAAAAGAACTAACATTCAGTTCAATTCAATTTTAAAAAAGATAAATCATGAATGTTTGTTAATGATAACCTATCTTTTCTTCTAAACTAATTTTGCAGAATAATTTGTCTTCCCTAAGCATAAACTATAAAAACATTCATTCACAAAAACAGTTTACGCACCATGGCATGATCACTATTCTTATTATCACAAGAAGCCCTTAGCCGCCAATCTCAAACAATAAGAATAGTTTGATTTTTATTAAAGAATAATTAAGTCTAAGACAAGAGATTAATTTATCAAAAACTAATTTTATTCAATTAAAAACCCAAATGCTTAGAAGATCTAAATCAATTGCTCAAGAATCATGCAATCAATTATTCATTAATAATGAAAATCCCAAAGTTTAGAACAATCAAACCATAGTACAGATTCGAGTTACATCAATGCCCTAAGAGAGGATTTAGCTACTCATGATGATGGGGAATATCATCTTTGTTGGTGTGGAACTCATTATCATGGACTGTAACTCCTCTTCTATGGATCTTCTTCTTTAATTCTTTAGAGAAATCTAAAAAACAACACTAAAATCTGCCGCTAGATCTGAAATATTGCAAGAGTTTTTATGTAGCCTTTCACCTTCTTTTATAGAAACAACTGGCTTCTATCCCTTCTAGGATGGGCTTTAGGTCTTCTGAGGTCATCTGGGCCCGTCTGAGACTTAACAGGATGTAATTAGAATTAATCCCACACTTATTATATTTGCCTGACATAAAAAGACTCAAGCACAAAATCTTGTGCTCGAACAGTTTAGCTTGTGCTCCAGCTTTTTGGAAAAGCCTCGAGCACAAAATCTTGTGCTCGAGCTTTTTGGAAAAGTCTCGAGCACAAAATCTTGTGCTCGAGCTTTTTAGCTTGTGCTCGAGCTTTTTGGAAAAGGCTTGAGCAATGTGATACCCCTCGGATCCGAGACACGGGTTGATCAGGCCCAAGCACAAACCCGAGGGAATATCAAACAATTAATATTTTAAAACGAACACAGAAAATAAAAATGAAATATGAAATAGAATAGAGCTAAAAGAAGTACTAAATATAAAATCCTCCACAATTAAAGATTTATAAAATCCAACACTCCAAAACCTCCATCAGTACAACTCGAGAATCCATCTAGTGGACCCCTAAATCAAATCCCAACTGAACATAAAATAACTGGAAATAAAAGTAAATCTAAAATTTGGAGTGAAACCCTACGTCGTCGGTAGAGTGAATGATAGTCTCTACTCAGCACGAACAAGCCTAAGACTGGAACCGTCCGATACCTGAAAAATATAAGAGTGGGTCAGTCCCATAAATAAGTTCTAATCTAACTACAATCCATACAGTGACCCGATACGCAGATACACCCTAGATATCTCACAATATCTATCTAGTCCATAAATACATATATATCCACACTAAGGGACATTCACTGGACTACGAAGGGGGCCTCAACCTTAGTAGAAGACAACATGCAAAAATGCACCCAAAGGTGGGCATGAATACCTAGACCTAACAGGGACACCTCAACCTATCATAGCCAGCTACACATCCACTGCATATATGCACCCTAACCATCGACTATGAGACTCAAGCTCACATCGTGGTACCATAATCATATATCTAAAGTCCATCCAAAACCATAGTATGTCACTCAATTATTCATTAATCTGACATACGATTCATAATCCAGTTAGTCACTCAACTTATTTAGTTGATATGACTTAATTACAACCAACAGTTAATCCAGGTGGTCACTCAATTTTTACAATCCATTCCCTTATTCCTTTATGCTGGTGCATACAATCCACAACATCCATATAATTAACAGAATTTAGTGTACTAATTCAGCAATTATAGTCCAACACACAAATTTAGATAATTGACAGAATTTAATATAAGAATTCAGCAATTATAATCCAATACATAATTCCAGATAATTGACAGAATTTAATATAAGAATTCAGCAATTATGATCCAACACATAATTCCATGTAATTGACAGAATATATTTTAATAATTCTTCAATTAAAATCCAAGAGAAATATAATAAATTCTAATATGTATAAAACCCTATTATGCCTTCAAAATAAATTTAGAAGTCATACTTTAGTCATCTAAGTTGCTAAATTAAGTTTAAGCAACTAAATACGTTATATCCGTTAACAGTGTGCGACATTGCTTAAAACTTCCACACTATGAGAATCATTAGCATATAGAGATAATTTATGCATGGTGGGTCCTAATATAGCATAATAACATGTTTAGAGTCCATGCTACAATCCATTAAATTGTTAAAACTAGATTAAACAATTTAATCCTTCCTATCCATTTAAGCATGCAAAGTTGCTTATTTTTAGACTGTTTATTCTATTTGCTCTATGGAACAAATTATGCAATTAGAGAGTTTAAAATCCCTTGAAATTACTTTTAAAATTCTCAGTCTAGCCCTTGAAACAATTCAGAATCCCAAACACATCCAAAACAGTGCCAAAACTGTTCTAGAAACACGCCAAACAAAACCAAACAAGGGAGCCTGCTCTCTAACCAATAGATCAGGCTCTAAGCACCATGGAGCCGGCTCCCTAGCCCTTGGAGACGGCTCTATGAAGGGGGGAGCCGGCTCCCAACCTCCTGGAGCCGGCTCTCTCCCTCTTTGAGAGTACTGTCCTCTTCCTACTCCGTTTCTGACCTTCTGCTTCGTCTCCGGCCTATTCTTACCATTTTGTTGGTTTCTAAAACTGATCTTAAGAGTCCTAAGTGTGTCCAATATCCATTATTTAAACCAGTTTACATTATTAAAAACCTTAGAACACGTACCGATTAAACATGCTTAAGAAATCAAACACTATAACAAAACTTACAAGAACCGTAACTGAATTAATTCCACGCATACAGATATTCAATTTAACATAATAATAAATATGCACAATTCAGTTAATGATCCATTACAACCCTAGAGCATATCTAGGTGCACAGAACACAGGCCAACGGGAGAGAGAAAAAAAAAGAACTTGCCTGTGATTTCAGTTATGAAATCTCGGCTTCGTCTCTACGTTTCCAGCAATCTCTGAATACCATCAAGCCTCCTATTTTTATGTTTTAATCCACCACAACACCTCCTTGGTCTTCTCTATTTTCGTCCTTGGAAGCCCTAACTGTGCCTCTGTTCTTTCAACCCTCTCTTACGTGAACAAACTTTAGGTTATGTTTTTGTGTTATATTCTTAAAACCCTAAACTACTGTAATGATATATTTATAGGATTAGAAACATACAACCCTAATTCTAACTAAAACCCTAGTCTGTATAATTAGAGACAGAACCCTAACTGCATCCTAGTCGGCACAACGTGAATTTAAAAGAAAATAAACTCTAACTTAAAATAGTAAAAGGAAACCAATAATTAAACTAAAATAGTTAATTCAAATAAATAAACAAATAAGACATTTAATTCAATTAAAACACCCCAATTAAACCAATTAAGCAAACAATTAAATTAAATAGCATTTAATCCATTAATTAAAACAACAGGCAAATACCGAATAAAAATAAACTATTCAAAATGCAATAAAATAAATATTAAAATGCCGAGACTATCCTTTTAAAATTAGGGATATTATAAGCATTAATTTCATACTTAGCCAAATTTCTTCAAAAAAAATTCGAAGCATCTTTTTGCCCAACACTTAGCCAAATTTTAGGATTTTCCAGCAAGGTAGTCGAGCACTATGCCTAGGGTGCTTCAGCATAAAATCTTGTGCTCAAGCCAGCTTCTACTCGACCTTTTTGGAAATGGCTCGAGCTTTTCGAACTTGGATTTTCAAAGCGTCTTTTCATCTTCCCAGGTGGACTTCTGCTCCAGCTTTTTGAGAAATGCTCAAGCTCTGGCAATTGAAATTTCGGAAGCATCTTTTCATCTTCCCAGGGGAATTTGTGCTCAAACTTTTTGGAAAAGGCTCGAGCTTTTTATTTTGTGCTCGAGCAGAAAATCTTGTGCTCAAGAAATTTTGCCTTAGTAACTTTTCTTGCTTCATTCTACTTTGTGGTCTAGCAAAAATGGTTGTGCTCGAGCTCTAGCACTTGAACGTCTCCAGAATCCCCTGATTGACTCTAAACTTGCCTCGGATGGTCTGGTACAACTCTATAAGCCTCGTAAATGGTATTTAAGCTCTAGAATCACGATTTTGTCCTGTTTTTAGGGAAATCACCTACAAAAGACAAATATACTAAAATCAGTCTAAAACTGGTTAGAAGTGTCACTTAAGGTATCAACATATGCACGTTTAAGGGCTCCAATATGCAATATTCAGCGCTTATCAGTAGTGACTAGCGACCAAAGGGAAGCAACAATGACCAACGACCAACGAGCAAGTTCAGTCATCTATTATTCAGTTATACCAGGGAGCAAGCAAGGACGAAGGTACCTTGTTATAGTTGCCTATCTCTGTGATTTTAATTGTGGTATCTAACCCTTTGTCTACGATTTTAATCGTTATATCTAATCCTTTGTCTGTGTATGCACATATGTTTGTATGTGTGTGTGTGTGTATATATATATGTGTGTGTTTTTGTGTATCAATGTGAATTGATTCGTTATTTGTTTCATTTAAGTAATACATGACACATCTGCTGCAATTTTGTGGTTAGCCTGATGTATATATGAAATAGGAGTTAGTCTTTGACGTGTATTATGAAATTGGGGTTCCCGAAGGAGTCAAATACGAGAAGGCAATCAGCCAAATATATAACCAGATTAGAGGGCACAAATGCAAAGGAGATTGGTGTGCAAATCAAGGATTTGAAGGCATAAACACCAGCCAATCTGGCCATGCAAGTAGCTACAAAAACTGATTCAGTCACCCTTCATAGAAGGAATTATTAGAACCTTGAAGCCCAAAAAATTTGCAATGCCAAACTTCACAACCTTTGACGGGATTATAGATCCCGTAGAAGATGACGTTGGATGCAGAAGACGAGAACCTTATATGTAAAGTTTTCCTAACCATTTTAAATGGATTAGCTTTACTCTAATCCAAACAACAAACACCTAGGTTAATTCCCAACTTTGATAAACTATGTGAATTGTTCATCGCATAGTACATAGGAAATAGGAGGCAAAAAAAGACCGTCTCCTCTCTCTTTATAGGGAGATAAACAAAGAGGGGTGGCGCTTAAAGGCGTTCCTCACCAAATTCAACCTTGAGATGTCCATGATAGATCGTTGTGATCAGATAACAGCAGTGAAAGCCTTTAAATTGACCATGATGCAAGGGACGAAGTTCCATAGTTCTCTTATAAAGAAGACTATCAGACATGGGTGTGCTAAATGCCAAAGCTTAAGGATATCTAAGATTGGAAGAAGATTACACCGTGCCATTAGTAAAGATCAATGCTGATCAACCTCAACATTCAGGCAAATGATCAAGTATTTGATCCCGAAACTCAGAGAAATGCATCACCTCCGACCAGTAAACATCCAGAAAAAGAAGCCAAGGTACGAAGAAAAGGTGACTCCAGTGAAGACAAGCCTAGCCACACTGTATCAAGAGAACAAGAACAAAGGTGTCTTCTGGATTCATCTCCCTATCCATAAACCCTTGGAGTGGAGAGATAGTACCAAGCCAATACAATATAAAAAAAAAATTTCCTAAATCAGTACAATAAATTTGATTTTTTGTAACAAAAGTTTTTATTACTAAACATAGAAATTTTTTCATAAAAACTAACCATAAGAAAATTGTCACAAGGTCATCCCTAAAAGTTCGTGATAAAAGGCTTTAGGTAACAAAAACTTTTTTTTGCAAAAGGCATCATCTTTGCAAAAAAATATAAAATAAAAAATAAAAAACCAACTTGTCAATAAAGATATGACGATTAGCGACAAAATATTTGTCGCTATTTCTCTATAAATCTATCACTTAATATAACCCAATTTCAAGGAATTTTGTCACTAAATATTACGACAAAATTAATTTTGTTGATAAATATATGACAATTGGTAACAAATGTGCTTGCGTACAAAATTAGCACCTTTGTCAAACTTGGATCTAGTGGATAGATGCTGAGACTGAGGGAAAAGATAGGTCTTAGAACGCAGCCAACAAGCGACTACAGAGCTCCAAAGAAGACATTCTCTCCTAAACTTCGCCCAAAGCTTGTGTCACAACCTTCATCAATTCCTTAACCTAGAAATCACAAAAGGCTGAGAAAATCATTTTCTAATCATCGAAGCAGGCGCTACACTATAGCAGCAAGATACTTTTTAAAAACACTCTAGTAGTAAGAGAAGAAGCAACCTACCAAATACAAACTCAAGTACTTAATTCTTTCAGTGGAACCCATGGATCATCACTCGTTCACAGATCGATTCACCCACTTTACACGCAGTTGATTGCAACAATTTAATCTTGGGATGTCATATGCACAGCCAAATGATCGACAGGTTACGAGGTTGAAGATGAACGGTGAAGGACACCCTTTTGTGTATAGCCGGCAGAGGGTGTGAATAGCAAAAGGGAGTGTGTTGCCGGCGGTATGAGAGTGTGTTTGGGTTGGCTATTGTGACAATGACCCAAACACCCAACTTATATTTCACGCAAACACACCCTTATCCCCGTTGCCTACACGTTCAATTTTAAAGGCGAGAATCAACCGGTACGTTGTTGGGTGGGATCATCAGCAATAAATATAGGAAGTTTTTTGCAACTTTAGTAGTTTAGAAGGTAAGTTGCAAGTTTTTCAATAATTTAGGAGGGTTTCTTACATTATGCCCAACAACTCACCAAATACTAATGCGTATGCCCAACAGCTCGCCAAATTCTAATAGGTATGATGATTGTTGTAAAAATAAAAAATAAAAAAAAAATGTACTATACCTCACAAGTAATCTCTCAAATATATTTGAACAATATGCAAAATCATGAGACTTGGTCTTGTGAATAAAAGCAAAAATATATACTTTTTATTTTCAAAATTATATGAAAATTAGTTAGAAAATTTTTCTAGAGTTTTTGAGAAATCATGTGCATTTAGAATCATCTTAGACTGGTGTTTGAATCAGGTGGAAACTCGATGTTTCCTAGGACGGACCTACATGTTGGAAACCCCCCGGATTTTTTTTTTTTTTTTAGTAATGTATCCTTGTGAATTTGGATTTTTAAATTATATATTCATAAAATATTAGCCTAGCAGTATCAGTTTTTACTTTTCAAAAGAATGTTAAGAATTCGAGCTTTAGTGGAGAACCATGTGTTTATAAATACCAATTAAAGAAAGAAAAAAAAAATACTCTTATCCCCTAAAATTATTAAAAAAAATTATTATTACCTCCCAACCTTACTATTCCCCGAGTGTTTCAATGCAAACTCACTCTAGAATTTCCTAACCATCCATCAAAGGACTTCCTCTCTCAATCAATGGAATGGACTATAGAGACAATCGTATGCATCCATGGATATCCCAGATCAATCGAACCCACTAGATTTTTTAATATTTATAAACTTTTGTAAAAACATGTTTAAAATTTTTATTCATGCAACTGGCGGACAGAATAAATAAATAAATAAATAATTTTTACTATACTTAATTTTAGCCCAACCAAAATAATATATACGTATTATTATTAGTCCATTTAAAAAAATATTAGTCCATCCCATTGGTAATATCTAAATTCGCATTTTAAAAAAAATAAATAAAAAATAAAAAATAAATCGTTGAGCATGCATCAAAATGTAAATTTACCCTTTTACCCTTTTTGACAAAGTAATTAGTTCTTTGTCTAGGAACTAATTTTACTTGTCTCATAATTAGAATATATCAAACTAATTAAAAATAAAACAAATATACATAGGCTCTCTTTTCTAATAACAGTTTTTTATTTTTCAAAAAATTAAAAATTAGAAAAGTCTAACAAATCTTGTTTTATTGTAACTTTCTAAAATTTATTTTATAAAAATTAATAAAATAAAAGAGTAAATGATACAGAGTGCAATACTTGAATTTATATTGAATGATTGGTAATATGGTCATCATATAATTATATTTAATGTCATATGCCATTCACACTCACATAAAACAATAAAACAATCGACTTCACTCATTTGACGTGCGTTCTATTTTACGTCGTCACAGTTGCAGGAAGTGCACACTCAACCTTCCCTAACACAATGATATTCCCAACATTCCAATCTCCAAAAACTCCAATCAATCACAAAAGCATAACTAGATCGCTTGCTTTCTTCTCCGACCATAGCCCTTCTCAACTACACCACCACAACCAACAACAAGAACAAGAACCAAAACATGAACACAGAGAACAACAACAAGAGGAGAGCATAACCAACAGACCCTACTGGACTAGAGAGATCCACAGGCTTTGCTCCATCAACCGCGATGTCGACGAAGCCATTCGCCTTCTTGACCATCTTCGCCTTCGCGGCTACTGCCCGGACTCTCTCAATCTCAGCACCATAATTCACGCCCTCTGTCACTCCAATCGCTTCTCCGAAGCTCACCATCGCTTCGTCCTCTACATTGCTTCTTGTTGCATCCCCGACGAGCGAACCTGCAATGTTGTCATAGCTTGCTTGCTCAATTCACGAACCCCACATACCACATTGCATGTTATTCGTAATTTGATCGAAGCAAAGCCCGAATTCGTGCCTTCCTTGATCAATTACAACCGCTTGATCGATCAGCTTTGCTCGTTTTCGCGGCCTGCTGAAGCTCACCGATTGTTCTTTGATATGAAGAGTAGGGGGCATTGTCCCAATACTGTTTCCTACACTACTCTCATCAATGGGTACCGTAAAATTGGCGAAATGAGTATTGCTCAGAAACTGTTCGACGAAATGTATGAGAGTGGAGTGCCACCTAACTCGCTCACGTATACCGTCTTGATTCGTGGATTTTTTCGGAATCGGGATATTGAACAGGGGAGAAAACTGATGGACAAGATTTGGCAGAAAATGTTAGATGAAGATGACCCATCAGTGAACAATGCGGCTTTTGCTAATCTGGTTGACTCTCTGTGTCGGGAAGGGTTCTTTCATGAGGTGTTTGTGATTGCAGAAGATATTCCTCAAAGGAAGTGTGTTTCAGTTGATTTTGCTTATGCCCAGATGATAGATTCACTTTGTAGAGCTGGAAGGCATCATGGGGCTGCAAGGATTGTTTATATAATGAGGAAGAGAGGGTTTATCCCAAGCTTGGTATCATATAATTTGATTGTTCATGGGCTTAGTAAGGAGGGTGGTTGTATAAGGGCTTATCAATTGTTGGAACAAGGAATTGAATTCGGGTACTTGCCCTCAGAACATACATACAAAGTTTTGATAGAGGGTCTTTGTCGAGAATCTGACCTTGACAAAGCCAGGGAACTTCTTCAAAGAATGTTGAATAAGGTTGGTTCGGACAGTACTAGAATTTACAATATATATTTAAGAGCACTTTGTCTTATGAGTAACCCAACGGAGCTTCTAAATGTACTTGTTTCCATGCTCCAAAAACAATGCCAGCCTGATGTAATTACCCTCAACACAGTTATAAACGGGTTTTGCAAGATGGGGAGAATTGAAGAGCCTTTAAAAATACTACACGATATGATGATGGGCAAGTTTTGTGCACCTGATGCTGTGACCTTCACTACTGTTATCTGTGGTTTGTTGAACATTGGAAGAATCGAAGAAGCTCTTGATCTGTTGCATAAAGTTATGCCTGAAAATGGATTCAGCCCGGGTGTTGTGACTTATAATGCAGTTCTTCGTGGGTTGTTTAAATCATATAGGGTAACCGAGGCAATGGAGGTTTTCAAAACAATGGTGGGTGCTAATGTGGTCGCTGACAGTACCACCTACACTATTATAATTGATGGATTATGCAACTCTGACCAAGTAGATGAGGCTAAGAGGTTTTGGGATGATGTGATTTGGCCATCAAAGACTCATGATAGTTTTGTCTACGCTGCCATTCTTAAAGGGCTTTGTCGGTTAGGTAAATTGGGCGAGGCTTGTGATTTCCTATACGAATTGGTAGATTGTGGAGTTACTCCAAATATTGTAAATTATAACCTTCTGATAGACAGGTATTGCAAGTTAGGCTTGAAGAAAGACGCATACGAGATATTGGGGGAAATGAGAAAGAATGGTCTCACCCCTGATGCTGTAACGTGGAGGATTCTTGACAAATTACATGGCAATACGAGGAAGCAAATTTGTGCAGAGGATTCAACTTTGCAATCCATATAGGGTTTACTGGACTTGTACAAGTAAGGCTTTGCATGAGGGAAGCAAACCTGGAAAGATCATCATCAAGGAAGAAGTGTAAAGGGTCCTTTTTTGAGGAATCATGAACCACAAAAGTGTATCTCTTAACCCTAGCTCATGTCCCTTTCTTTTGAACTCCTAGTCCTGTTCGAATAAAGTAAGTGTTGGGAAACATGCAAGTTTTTAAAAACCTTTTGAGAGATTTTCATACATAGATCTTGATTCAGCACATAGAGACAAGTTTTATAAAAATAAATAAATAAATAAATAAACGATGATGTATCATTCAATTAACAGTTTGAATACTTACATCAAAGATCCGAGTAAACCTTTAAATCTTTTCTCTAAAATAAATGTTCTCACTTATTGTAAACCCTTTTAGAAATCACCAATATGCCTCGATGAACGACCTTGGAGTCAAGACTTGTGGTAGCCTCCTTTAGAAGAGATAGCAAACCCTAAAATCTAGAGAAAGAAAATATATTTATTTTTCTTCTTCTAAAAGTCACACCCTAAAATATACATGGACCCATGTATATATAGGCAAAATAAAAATAAGAAAAGGAAATAATAAATTATTCTCCATCTCTAATTTAAATATCTCAATTCTAATAGGACTCCAATATCAACTTAGGCTATGGGTGAGAATCCTTTGGGCTTACTATTTTCTTGGCTACAATAAAATAATAATTGGTCTGGTCCATTAAACCATGGACCCAATTCAATTAATTCATAAATTAATTTCTACTCCACTAAAAGAAATTAATTACACTCCAATTAAATAGTAAATAACCACTAAATCAATGTTGCATTGTGACCCCTCTATACATAATTATTTATCGGATTATAAAGCCATCAATCTGACAACATAATTAATATAATTATTTTGTTACCATTGATTATTTCCGGCTTGATCACAATAAAATATTTGTTTGACAAAAATAATAATTTACTAAATAAATATATAAAAAACATTTTGTCTAAAATATACGAAAGCCTTCGAATTTAATTTGTGATCAACCATAATCAATACAAAATAAATACAAGTAGCACTGATTCAAATATTGAGAATATCACCATCTAACTATTAATTACATAACTACCCAAAGTACCAATCTAATGATCCCGAATTATCCGCCGAACAAATCAAAGTAATTATTAATTAATAAAAGAGTCTATATTTCTTTCATACTTGAGAGTCAAAAGTCATGACTGTGATAGAGAGCAATTACATACGACGGCTCTCGCAATATATCTTAACCTATCGTGGACTTGGTTCAAGTCTTAATTAATTAAATGTCCATCCATAATTACCGACTTTGAACCATTTATGATTACTTATTTATAACTTAGTATTAATTGCCATTACATACATATAAAAATATATCTTGTAATCAAGTGGACACAATCAATTCCATAATGAATCGAAAAAATAATACATTCCATTCGCCAATTGTATAATGCCTTAATAATAATATTCAGATAAGGAACCATGGCTTTTACAATCCAAATAAGAACTTGCTATGCTAGGGCACACATATCCCAACAACTCCCACTTGCACTTATAGCCAATTCGAATCACATCTAACTCCTATGTTTTTCATATGACGATCAAACATCTTGATCGGTAAAACCTTTGTGAATGGATCAACAAGGTTGTATTCCGATGCAATATTGGCCACAAGTATATCTCATCGCTTTACTATATCACGAACCACATGATGTTTCGTCTAAATGTGTCTTATTCCTTTATGAAATTTTAGGTCCTTGGTTTGGGTTATAGCCGCACTATTGTTGCAATGAAGCATCATAGGCCGATCTATATGCTTCACAACCTCCAGTTTAATTAGAAAGTTTCTCAACCAAACAATTTCTTTTACTACCTCAGAGGCTGCAATGTATTCTGCTTCCATGGTTAAGTCAGCAGTACAATCCTACTTTACACTCTTCCAGCTAACTGCCCCTCCATTGAGTTTGAACACATATTCAGATGTAGATCTCCTGGCATCTGGATCCGATTGAAAATCAGAATCCGTATATCCGACTGGAACCAGATCATCACCTCCATAAACGAGTATGAGACTCTTAATTCTTCTAAGGTATTTTAAAATATTCTTCACAGCTGACCAATGATCAAGTCCAGGATTAGACTGATATCTACTGACAATCCCTACAGAGTAGCAGATGTCTGGTCTGGTACAGACCATGGCATACATGAGACTACCAACTGCCGAAGCATATGGTATCCGCCTCATTTGTTCAATTTCCTTATCAGTCTTGGGAGACTGGTTATTAGAAAGAGCCAATCCATGTTTAAATGGTAAAAACCCTTTCTTAGAGTTTTCCATTCCAAACCTGGTCAGAACTTTGTTAATGTAAGACTCTTAAGACAAGACTATTTTCTTTTTAACCCGATCTCGCAAAAGCTTGATCCCAAGAATATAGCTTGCTTCTCCAAGATCTTTCATCTCAAATTTATTGAACAACCACTTTTTAACTGATGACAAAGCCTCTACATCATTACCAATGAGTAAGATGTCATCAACATGTAAAACGAGAATTATAATGACATTACCCTATTTTTTCTTGTAAACGCAAGGTTCAAACACATTTTGTTCAAAGCCAAATAATTTGACTGCCTGATCAAAACAAATGTTCCATGTGCGTGAAGCTTGCTTAAGTTCATAAATAGACCTATTCAACTTACACACACAGTCCTCACGACCTTTAACCACGAAACCATCTGGTTGACTCATGTAGATGTCTTGTTCAAGATGGCCATTTAAAAATGCCGTCTTAACATCCATCTACCATATCTCATAATCATAATGAGCACTAATAGCCAAAAGAATACGAATAGATTTAAGCATTGCAACTGGTGAGAATGTATCCTCATAATCAATACCTTCATGTTGAGTGAAGCCTTTGGCAACCAGTCTAGCTTTGAATGTCTCAACATTCCCATCCATTCCTCTCTTTCGTTTATAGATTCACTTACAACTAATGGGCTGAACCCCACTAGGAAGTTCTATAATTTCCCAGACTTTGTTAGAATATATAGATTCTAACTCTGATTTCATGGCATCTTTCCAACGATTCGCATCTATATCGGTCAACGCTTCTGCATAGCTTACTGGGTCTGACTCATACTTATCAAGAACGGCCTCATAGACCTCACCCAAAAGCGTGAGCTTGTCGGGTCGGATGATAGTCCTCCCACTACACTGAAGGACCGGTGCAGGAATTGATGTACTAGATGATGGTAATTCAACAAGAACTTCTTGTGTCTCATCATTCTCAGTATTTATATTAGGTATGTCTGTAGGGGGTATATCTGATGTGCCAATCAACTACTCTAACACTACTTGGCTACTAAGTCTGTGGTTCATTATATAATCCCCCTCTAGGTAAACAGTATGAGTGCTAACAATAACCTTATTGTCCCTAGGATCATAAAATAATCCACCTCTAGTGCCCTTAGGATAGCCAACAAATAAGCATGCATCTGATCTTGCTTCCAACTTGTCTGCCTATTTCTTATGCACGTGTGTTGGACACCCCCATATATGCATGTGATTTAAATTAGGTTTTTGTCCAAACCACAGCTCATATGGCATTCCCGAAACAGACTTGGATGGAACACAGTTCAAGATGTACGTCGCTGATTCTAAGGCTAATCCCCAAAATGATAGAGGTAATGTAGCAAAACTCATTATAGATCTAACCATGTTAAGTAAAGTTCTGTTTCTCCTTTCTGCCACTCCATTCTGTTAAGGGCAGTCAGGTGCGGATAACTGGCGCACAATACCTTCATTGACCATATGATCCTTGAACTCCCCCAAGAGATATTCATCTCCTCGATCAGATCGAAGTGTTTTGATAAGTTTACCTAATCTACGTTCCACTTCCGCCTGAAACTCACGGAATTTTCCATAAGCTTCTAACTTGTGTCGCATTAGGTAAATATATCCAAAACGTGAATAATCATCAATTAAAGTGATGAAGTACTCAAACCCTCCTCTCGCTTGGGTGTTCATAGGACCACACACGTTTGTGTGCACCAACTCTAATTGTTCTTTGGCTTATATCCTTTGGCTGAGTAAGCCCTTTGAGTCATCTTTCCTTCAATACAGGATTCACAAGTTGGCATAGGCTCCTCTGCCTCACAAGGTAATAAACCTTCTTTAACCAACCTTTGAATCCTATTTTGATTGATGTGACCCAATCGTAGATGCCAATAATACAATGAGTTTGGAGAAACTGCTTTTCTTTTAACATTCAATCTAGATGAAGTTGCATTTAATTCATAATTTTGCATTTAATATGAGCTAGGAGTTAAAATATATAGACTATCTTTCAATGCACCAGAAGTTATAACATAACCATTTAATTTAATTAAAACATTTTTTCCATAAGTAAAAATATAGTTTTTGCAAACCAACGAAGATACTAAAATTAAATTGTGCCTAACATTTGGCGCATAAAGATAATCTTCTAAAATAAAACTCCTCCCACTATCAAACTGCATATGAATTACTCCCACTGCTTTAGCTTCCACCTTGGCATTAGATCCCATATGCAAGTATATCTCTCCTTCACTAAGGCTTCTGGACTTCTGGAATCCCTGTAATGAATTGCAAACATGATTAGTAGCTCCAGAATCTATGTACCAGGAATCTATATATTCAACCACATTACATGCCTTAACAATGAATATACATTTTCCTTTGCCTTGTGTGCGAAGTGTTGGGCAGTTAGGTTTCCAGTGACCTGGTTGACCGTAATGGAAGCAGTTTCCTTCGCCTTCAACCCGCACTTTCTTCTTCCCCTTATCATTTTGGATCACTTTGTTTGGCACAAGCACAGTTTGGGCACCATTCTTCTTCTTCTTTTTGCCCCTCCTCTTGGGCCTAAAAGTGGATGGTCCAGCAGACTGAGTGTAGTTGATAGATGCACCCTTACTTTTGATTCTCCCTTCAAAGGTTACCAACTCATTCAGAAGTTCAGCGAGTGAGTACTCAAGCTTATTCGTAGAATAATTAACCCTAAAAGAGTTAAATGAGTTTAGCAATGAAGCGATAATCATGTCAACTTGAAGTTCACCATCCAAGTTACATCCAAGGATCTCAAGTTGATCTAGAAAACCAATCATTTTTAAAGCATGATCTCGAACTGGAGTACCTTGGACCATCTTGGTGGTCATCAAGTTTGTCACAGCAGCTTGGCGTGCACTCTTACCAACTTGCCCAAACATTTCCTTGA